CCCGGGATCCTGGGGACACTGCTAAGACATTCTGGGTCTAGGAGCTACTGCGGAAGCCGAGGTCCAGAACAAAAGCACGCCTACTGACATGTGCGTTCCGTGCGACGCGTTGAAGACTGGGCCGCGCTGCTTCTCCTCCTTCGCAAGAGCCCAAACGCTCCACAACATGAACACATACATCGCATTAAACGGGTGACCCAGGATGCTCAAAGAGGGCCCCACAACGTCCAGATACGTCCCTCGATCCTCCAGACTTCCCCCTCTCGACCCACACCCCCGCCATGGAAAAGGCTGGCACGTCGCCGCCCTCGGGGTCGGGCCGCGTGTAGATGACCTGGTATTGTGGCGCGCCGTTGCCCTCCCGGGTGTGGAAGTAGAGCCGCCAGGCCCACCGCAGCGGGCGTGCGAGCGAGCTGACCCCGACCCTGAGAAAGAAGGGATGGGCGAGGAGGGGAAGGAAAGGACGGAGGAGGAGGAGGAGACTAAAGATGTGAGCAACAGCAAAGATAAAGAGAAGCGTCATATATCGGGCAACTGCAAGAAAAAAGTATGGGTCAATCGAGAATAACACGGGCACGGGAAAAAGCAACAGCTGAAATGGCAAGAGGAAATCAGAAAACAGGCCGAATACACAAAGGTACCATTCGAACCTGGTGGTCAAACGAGACTTCTGTGCCTCGCTGGCCCTAGCACGCGAGACTTGCATGAACCAGCGCAGCAAAAGCAAACAACAGAAAAAGAGGGAGAGAGACAGAGTGGAAGTGGAAGTGGAAGTGGCTGCGTCCCCGAAGGGGCCCGCGAGGGGCGCAGCGCAGCTCGCGCCGCTCCTTGCTTCATGAACCACGTGACGAAATTCTCGACTCTGGATGACCACCAATCCTGGCCCAGCGTCTGATCAGTCCAAGAATCGATGTCGTTCTCTGCAGTGAAACGCCGGACAACATTTTCCCATTTCATCCACCTTCTTCTCGATGGGCGTCGCGGGCGCCACGCGCAGTCTGCTACCGATTTTGTCCAGTCAGAATCCCGCCATTCAGTCACCTTGCGCACCCAAATTGAAATGCTCCTTCTGGCAACGTGCCCTGCCCACAACCATTTCTTCCGGGCGCGCTCCTCTACCCAGTCTCACACTCCAGCCTCCCGCGCTTTCGCGCGGGCTCTCCTTGTGGCGCGTTGAAGCCACTCGATCCACGGCACGTTGGGAGCGCGCCTGCAGCAGAAGATCCGCCGGAGCACGTTGTGTTGAACGGTTCGCAACTGCTGAATTTCCTCCACTCGCGGCGTCCAGGAATGCGATCCATAGAGTACTGCGCTGCACACCGTGGCGTCGAAGAGACGCAGGCGCCTGTTGACCGAGACGTTCGGGTTGAGCAGCAGGCGCTTCAAAGCCCAGAACTTCCGCCACCCAAGTGCCAACCGGTGATCGATCTCAGGCTTCGTTGGGTCTGTGAGAGACACCGATGTGCCTCGTGCCTCCAGGCGCACCGACTCCTCCAAGACTTGCAAAGAAAAGCCGTCGTCTAAAACAACGCCCCCCCGTCTTGTCCAGCCCAGGATATTCGAATGTGCTTTGCGTTTGGTGGGATGTAAGCACAGGCCACGAAGCAGCAACAGACGTCGTAACTCCAACACCACTCTCTCGAGTGAAAGCCAAGAGCGCGCCACCAAAGTAACACCGTCAGCGAAGGCGACGTGGGCAAGCCGCTTGCCGTCCAATCCCCGCCCAACGTCCGCGCCGCATCATCTTCGTTGCCACGTTGACTGCGCTTCTGTCAAAACCTGCACCATCACGAGGTTGAACAATGCCGGGGAAAGCGGGTCGCCTTGACGCACGCCACGTTGAACCTGAAATCGGCAACTCTCCACGCCTGGCCACAGCTGCACGCGCGCCGCCATGCCCCGGTGAAGCTTGCGCAACGCCTGTGCGACAGAGACGTCTAGACTGGCAGACAATAAGGAATCGATTAGTTCGTCGTGATGTACCTTGTCAAACGCCTTCTCTACGTCAAGTGCTGCCAGCCGCAGGTCTTCTCCCCACTCGGCAGATTTTTCTACCACCATGCGAAGCACGTGCACCGCATCATCGCAACCACGCCCCATCCGGAAACCAAGCAGTTCCTCCTGAAGCCTGTTCTCCACAACAGCTTGACTACGGAAATATAGCACTGTGCTGAAGAGTTTGGACATGACAGGTATAATCGAAATTGGCCTGCCACCTTTCTATGCTGAACGCTCCCCTGTCTTGAATATCACTGACTAGCGGGCGATCTCCCATTCCATGGGAGGCCCCATGCGCCCCGTAAGAATACCAGAACAGTAATCCGCAATAGTCTCCAAAAGTGCAGTGCGTCCTGTCTGTAGCATCTCGGACACCAGGCCGTCGCCTGCGCAAGTTCGTTTTTTTTTCCATCTTGCGCAGGCCAGCTGTGAGCTCTTCTACGGTGACCCAGGGCACCAAGCCATCTAACTCCTGCTCTCCCAAGTCCTCCGCGCGGGTGCCCTTCTACAGCGCCTGGTAAAAATCAGCAAATGCCTCGGCGACCCCTCCGCTCTGTGACTCGCACTCCGTCGTTATTTGTCACTGCTGCGATCCTTTCAATGCCCCCATGTCTCTGCTGTGGTCTCTGCAATGCTCGAATGCCTTTGCCCATCTCTGCCAAATCTTATACTTCTCGTCCCTGTCGTAACCGTCGCTGTCGTCGCAAAGCCCTCCAAAGTTCCCTCGATATCTCCTGCCGGGTTGCTGGGCACGTCGCCGCCTGCCTTCGGAGAACAACTGCTGCGCCTCCTCGGAATGACCGCGTGGAGGGCTGCTGTTGCAGGAGCGACTTGACCTCGCGGCCGCCACCACTAAACCGCTCACATCTGTAAGGCCGGAGCGTCCTCCAGAAAGGGCCTTCGTCAGCATGTCGTGGTGACCCGTCGGATTGCCGTCGTCATCCAGCTCCGGCGCCCACCCTCTCATCCTTCGCTCCCCCACTACTCTCAGTGGCGGCGTGTGCTTGCATGCTACTTCAGCGAAGATCGCTCTGTGATCCGATTTGCCCTCCAACTGTCTCCAAACACCCGCGTCATGTACAAGCTCGGCGTGCGCACAGTCGACTAGCAAATAATATATTTGTCGAAATTCTCCTGCGCCCCATAATCTGCGCGCCCAAGTGCTGCCCCACTCCCGTTCCAACAATCCTGCCGCTGAAATACAACGAGCACCATATCACCAATGACTGAATAGATGCCCCCGCTCATTCCGGCTCCCGTGCCCAACAGGTCATATTACTTGGGGACCGTCGTGCGCTAGTCGTTTCCCCGGCACTGCGTTCGCGTCAATGCCTATCACTAACCCCCCCCCCCGCCCCACGCGCACTGAATACGGCCTTCTCCAATTAAACCAATCCCTCCTCGAACTCTTCGCCCGTAGCTCCAGAATGGCGCAAGTGGGAAGTTGCCAAACGAATGCACGAGCCAGGCAAGTCGACATCTACGTTACGTAGTGTAGCAGTAGGGGCATTGAAACGTGCATCGACACCTTGTTGCACCTAGCGCTTGCGCAGGTGCACGCCCGCGCTTCCCTTCGTAGAAGCCTCCTTCGCAGAAAACCATAAATGACCTGATTCCAACACCTTTTCAGTTGGATGCTCCGCGCGAGGCCCCTCATGGCACAGCAGAATATCCCACGCTGGCCCATCGTCGAGCAGACCAACAACATCCTGCGTGCACCCGTCCTCCATTCCACGCGCATTCCATGAAATAGTAACGAAGCAATCATGCACTGGCATGTCGCTTGGCGCCGCCCCCCCCCCCGCTCTCTGAAATGTCAGCCTGGCCAGGCGTCCCAGGCTTCATCCTTCCAGCGCGTTGGAGTAGCGTCGCCGGCACGTCGCCGCACACATTGGCATATGCTCCTCTGCCTCCTCCCTGGGGCCCACCGGCCCCTACCTCCACCATCGCGCCCTCCTCCGCCTGCTCTGCGGCGCAGAGCTTTTCGAAGCGGCCCTTTCCAAGCCATGCCCGCCCCAACCAAATCCATCTTGCCGTCTGCCCACGCTGCCGCCCGCTCATCCTTGAACCACACAGCGCCTTTCAAGAAATGTGGCATCGATCTTGGATGTCAGCGTAGCCCCATTGCCCCCGCTGACCTCGATGATCGTCCTCGCCATCTTCCGGACCGCCCGCTCGCGTTGTGCACCCTCCGATGTCGGGCTCTGTACTTGGAGCCCGCATTGCAGTATATGTTCTGGCCATTGTACTCGTGAACATGTTGGCCCGCCTTCTTGCGCATTTAATTCCATGTGGCCTCAGACGTTCTGAACCGCCCCCCACCGCGTTCCGCAAATTTCTCCCCATATGCGAAAACCACCCCCACGTCCTCCCTGGCCTCGGCGAGCGCGCCTTCCATGAATTTCGCGATAGCCTGCGCCTTGCTGTCCTCAGGGAAGCGCCCGAAGCTCACGGCGCGAAACCACTTATCCTCCTCCCCGTCCGTCTTGTCCTTCCCTTTTTTACCCTTAGTCTGACCCCCGGCCCCAATCGTCAAAAGCCCTTTCCCAGTAAGACCTTCCTCCATAATGATGCCTTTCTTACCAACGAGGGTGTCGCGCCCGGTAGCGTGGGAAACTCCTGCTTGATTATGCCCGCTGCTTCCATGGCCAAGTCAGCCGCGACCTTCGCCTGATTAGCGGTATTTGCCGCTTCGCCCATGTCTGTCTTCACCTGCTGCATGTCCTCCCTCATGCTTTTCACCATAGCCATCATCTTCTTCAGCATGCCGACCATCGCCTTAGACCCCTCAGCCCCGTCGTCATCGTTGAGGTCATCTTCCTCGCCCATGTCAATATTCTCCTTGTCCTTCCCGATATTGGCCTTCCTCTCCTCGGGCCCCTCCCCAGTGTGGCCGCCGTTCTTCCTCGTCGCCATCGCGCGCGCTGCATAGCAGATCCCGCTGAAACCTCGACGCTGGAAGGCGCTGTCCCAGTCAACAAAGAATATGAACAGATCGTGCATCAGGCTCGCCTAGAGGCGCGAGCCAGGGTTCCTCCTAGAAACGAGCCAGCCCTTGGCCGAAATGCGTACTTGAGAAAGAGAGGGCGGTCTGATGACCACGCACATCATGAGAAAAATACCAGCAGCGCGCAATTTGATAGAGCACGGTTTCTTCCACTTGCATGCTCCACAGTCATACTGCCCGCTGATCCACGAACATAGTTCGTAGAAACAAGCACCTCACATGCATGCTTCGCTGCGTCGCATTCGCTAACATAGTTCGCGAAATTCGAGCGCCTGCTTCATCCTTTGCAGTCGTCGGGGCCGCGAGCTGCGATGACATTGTCCTTGCGAGCCCTAGCCGCCTTTGAGCCGTGATGTTGGACGAAACGGTGCCTTAATCAGTATGGTCGTCCCTGTCCTTGGTGAGACTGCTATGCCAAGGGCTAGGCGTGCGCTTCATGTACCGCTCCACGCTCAACCTGGCTGCGTCGTGGTCATAGCTGAGGTGGCCGCTCATGATGTCCAAGATCGACTCTCGGCCGCCGCTCCCCTTAGTCATGGGGTCGGCCCTGATGTCGCGGACGCCGCGCCACAGCATGTCCTAGTCTGCTTGGTGCAGAACTGATCTGGCAACCACCGCACATTGACGGCCATGATGTTGTCGGAGGTGGCTGGACAAGATCCATGGCCAACACCATGAAAACGGAGATGCCGCCCGCGACTAGCGTTGCAAGCTCCGCGTCGCCTCCTTCTTCCCTCAGCCTCCTGATCTGCAAACCGCCCGCTGCTCTGTTGGCTGCGACCAGCTTCATACCGAATTTCTTGCCGGCGCGCCGGCCTTTGCCCAAGCGCATGAATACGGCTCCGCGGCGGATGAGCAGCTGGCTCTTGGCCCTCCGCAGCGCAACGACGCGCGGCGACGCGGCGTTGGGCGCGCAGGGAAAAGGCTGCTGCTCCCAGGAGAAAGACAAAGAAGTCTGGAAACCACTGGAAACTGATCTCCCGCCGGCTAGCCGGCCCTCGCCTTTACCAAGTAAACGTGCCTGACCGGTATCAGGGAGCGTATGTACTCGTCCTGGTCTGGCGTAGCTGTTCCATCGGCGCTGCGGTGTTGCTGTACTCCGCAATTGGTGATGTCGTCGTAGTTAACCTTCATCATGACGAAGACGCTCACGATCTGGCCGATCAGTCGGTCGCCGTGCTTCCCAGCGGTCTTCAGATCGTCAGCGCGCCTGGACAGCACGAGCACATGCTTGGAGTCGCCGGAGCCATAGGCAAGGGACGCCTCGCGCAGGACCACGAGCTCTGGATCCCACCTGATAGGCTTGGCGCCGCACTCTGGTGAGCGCGTGACCTGGGCGAGCTTGGTGGAGAAGGCTCGGGGTGCCCGTGCCTGGCTTGACGCACCGCAAGCACTCGGGCCGCTCGTCGAAGGACTCGTAGCCCGGCGCCTGCCGCAGGATGGCCGCGCTGCCAGGCAACAGGGTGAAGTTCGCCTCGCGCGGTGCTTCGCCTTATTCCTGCACCTCGGCATAGGTCATGCCCCGCAAGACGGCGTTCCCGACGTCCGCAGCGACGCGGGCATATTCTGGGCGACGCGCCACCTGCGAGGACAATATGCGCGGTGACGCACGATGCGCTGCCCCCGCGAATGTCTCCATGGCCCCAGCGCCCATGTCGCGAAAGGCTCTTAGCGCCGTGCGGCACTGGATGATGGATGCTCGCGGTCTTGCCGTCGGGCCCCTTCCGGCGCTTCCACTTGAAGCCGCGTTTCGGGCGCCATTTGGCGGTCGCCTCTCGACGCGCTCGCACTTGGCCCAGTTCCTCGTTGGTCAGGAGGTCGGCGTCGCACTCGATGAACGCGGTCTCGGCGGCGGCTTATGAGTCGAGCACGGAGCCCTCCCCCTTCTGGCATGGCGCAGTCCCCCAGGGCGGCGCCGCGCAGATAGTTGCGGCGCTGCGCGTGGATGCCCTGACGCCGGCGCTGCGTCACGAGGCGCTGGGACAACTCGCGTGGCCAGCTGCCGTGCGCACCCGCCGCGTGCTCGACAGTGGCGAAGATGTTATGCTGGCTGTCGTCGCCCTCCAGCTCCTCCAACTCTGGAGTCAGATCCACTGCCCCTTCGACTTCGCGCTAAGCTGCCAACGTCACCTGCTGGATGTGGCTGGGAAGGTCGCTGCATGTCTCCTCGGTATAGACGACAGTGGCACTGGCAGCATCCTGTGGAACGTCGATGACATAGTCTTCGAGCTCTCCATCTGGACATTGCCCTAAGTCTGCTGCCTGGAAAGCCTCGTAACCCAGAACGAACTGGATGACGACGGCTTCCTTCCGCTGCTCGCCGATGAGCACATGGGCGTCGAATCTGACGCCGTCGAAGAAGACATGCTGACTATCGCCTGCACTCTGCGGGGTCCACTAGATGACTAGGCTGCGGGCGCAGCCCGGCCAGTCGGCCACATATTTCTGGCCGCGTATCTAACGCGCGGCACGAACGTCTGGCAGCTGAAAGCACCTGCGGGATACGTGGCGCAGGGCTTCGAGGATGTCGGGGCGCTGTCGCGTCAGCGTGGTAATCTGCCCGCCCCGCGCGTCCTCCCGGTGGCCGAAGGTCCTGGCGCCTGATCCGGCTACGACGCGCTGAAGGAAATCCCCCGCGCGGTCTCAGGCCAGGCCAGCTCGCGCCAAGCCGTTACCACGTCGTCGACGACGGCGCCGATGAAGGGCCAGACATCCGGCGGCCTGCAGACCACGTCGGCTCAGCGGTACTTGACCGTCGCCTTGCCTCGGGCGGGGTCGCCAGATATGACTGCCCCAAGGCCCGCCACAGCCCTGCGCGCCCTTCGTGCTCGGGGGCCTGCGCCCCCCCGCCTGATCGCCAAAGTCGGAGCGGCCCTCTCCGGATTCCGTGGCGCGTGTCCGGGGGGCGCGGCTGACGCGGGAGATGGGCGTGGCTTCGATCACGCGCTGCTGCGCTGCCTCTCAGATTTGCCACTCCAGTCGGCTGGACTGCACTTCGCTGCCAGCGAAAGGGCCGGCACTGGCGTCATAGACACCGGATGCCTCGCCCGCTTCGCCTGCTTCGAGCGGTGGCAGCATGGGCGACTGCTTTCCGAACACGACGCCGCGCGTTCTAGCGCCGCCCGCGCGGGCGAAGATCGCGCGCGCAAGCCTAGAATCGAAGTTCGCTGTGGTACCTTCGTTCCCTAGCTGCTCATCATTGGTGCGGAGTGAACGTCGTAGCATCGCCCCGCGCCGCTCGATGGAACGAGCGCGCTGTCTAGGAGCGCCCATATGCACCTGGGCCCCTCTCGCTCTCATCTCCTCAACGAACCGCGCTGAGGTCACGGCGCCTTCCCCGCCCGCGAAAGACGCCCCCATCGCACCGAACAGCAGGCTGGGCCCCTCCAGCCATCGACGGCTGCAAGCAACGTCGAATCGCGGTTCGAATCGCTCTCCTGGCCGTTGTGCCACCGCGAGGCGCAGCAGATCATATCCATGATCACGCGAGCCTTGTAGTAAGAGGATATCGCACTCGACATACTGGTTGAATCGCGCCGACAGGCGGAGTGTCGGGATAGTCTGGTGCGTTGGTGGCTGCCACTTACAGCATTCCCGTTAGTTGTTGACAGCTGCGGGGATGAGGTCGAGGATGTCTTGGGGAATGTTGGCTGCGCGTAATGCTCTTGCCCTCTCCTCCTTTGCGGCGCGCCGCCGCCGGAGGCGCGGCTTGCGCAGTTCTCGCGCGCGCGCTTCATGCGAGCCCCCGCGTAGTGCTCGCCGAGAAGTGGCGGCGACGGAGCGAGTCCAGTCGGAGGAGGTCGGGTTGCCGACCGCTGCGTCGGCGGCTCGTCGCGCCGTTCGTCTCGACGCTGCCCCTGTCGCTGGACTGGCTCGCAGCCCCCGTCTGTCAGCGCTGTTGCCAGGACTAAAACTCCGCGGTGCAGCGACACTGTCGGCGGAACCGATGTTCCCGCGGGCGCCGGCGGCAGGACTGCCTCGTCGACTGCTCCCAAGTCGGCCCCGACAAATTGTTGAGCACGCCGATCGTTGGAGTGGCGCGGCCCCCCATGCCGCGCTGGCGGCGGAGGCCAGCCTGGCAAATCAGATGTGGCAAACGGCGAGATGTGCATGGTTTGGCCACCGCAATCCAACCGTGAAGCCCCTGCAGACGCAGGGCCGTAATTGAAACGAAGCGTTGCTTCAGCGTGCCCCACCTGTTCTCGCTGCACCGCTCGCGAATATGAGCGCGCGCGTCGCTCTGCACTGGGGGGGGGGGGGGGGGGGGCCCGCCTACTCCATGGACAGAACGCTCGAGCCCCGCGCAGAGAGGAGCGTCGCGGGCGAGGACAACCCTGGATCCCACTCCGCACGGGCCGTGCAAACCGACATTCGGCACGAGGAACTCAGGCTCATTCGGCGCATCTCCGATTTTGCACGCATCCGCCCGAGCGCGGAGAGCGCCGAGAAGAAACCACCCGACTTGCACGTCCCGATAGGAAAGATCGACAAGCCAACGCACAGACGAACAACACTCGAAGAGGTACCAGCCCGCGTCTGGAATGCAGTGGTTTCCCATGGCGCCCCCGTACTGAACATCATCGTCAAAGAAGCGACGTCTTGGATAGCTTAGTCTTGGCCCCCAGTAGGGCCTCCAGGATCGCACGATTGTCACACTTGTGATTAGCCCAGAAACTGTCCACCGCATCGCGGTCGGCAAACATGTCATCGAGCTCCGCATCCACGGGCGCGGGCTTGTCGACCCCTGATCCTTCCTCGGCATCGCCATCGCCACTGCCGTGAGCCCCTGGGCCAGGCACTTGCACGCGCGCGCGGAAGAGCGTCGCAAACTCCAGGAAGGCCTCCGACTCGAACATGTACTTGTCCCCGGCCTGACCACCCAGCAACTCCTGTGGAACGCCGACGCAGTCGACCACAGGAGACTAGCCAAGAGGTGAGGATGTCACCAATTGACGCTGAAGCTCGGCACACTCCTTCTCGGCGGCAGCACGCTTCAGCTCCTGATTCTCCTCCTGCGCCTGGTCAATGCGCTTGTCACGCGCCGCGATGTCGTCGCAGATCTAGGACGCGCGGCCTTTGCATCGATTAAGCCAGTGCCCCGCGTTGCTGCGCTGCGTGAGGCCAGGCTTCCTACCCTCGATCTTCGCTCGCACTTCCTTGAGCTGCTCCTCGAGAAACTTCTTGGCTAGACGAGCCGCTCGGAGCACCCCTGACGCAGGCTAGGAGCCCCAATCGGCAGGGAAACGTGGCTCAATGCGGTGGAAGACAGCAAGCGCCAGCGTACGGCCCCTCGGGGCGGAATCACCTCGCACCGCACATAATCCAGGATTGCCTAACAGAAGTGAAGGCTCGGAGCGAGGAAGGCGGGGGCCTGAGAGGGGCGGGCCACCGAGGCAGCAGGCGCTGGCGTTTCGGGCAAACGAGTCGAGACCTACGACGTCGCGTAGAAAGTTGCGACCAGGGTGGGGCCTCTCTGATCGGGCGCCAAGTCCTTGCATGATTTTGTAAATCGCCCCATTGATCGCAGCCGCCGCAGTGTTGTTCGACAGGCTCTTGGACCCCAGCGGGCGAAAGTCGTCGCCCGGGCGGGCGGCGCCGCGCAGCGTCGGGCCCTCATCGGGCACTGGTTTCGGGAGAAACGCATGAAGCGAGGCTCTTTAAGATGGCGGCCTGAATTTTCCGCCGAGCACGCGATGAAGAGCTGAATGCAACATCTTCGGACCCTTGCCATGCCCCCAGCGCGCGAAGGGGGGGCCGCGGGGGCCGGGGGCAGAAGGCGAGTCCGGAGAGGCACCCCACGCCCGAAGTTAGATGGGGGATGAGCGAAGCACCGAAAGTCCCCGAAACAGAAGGCGATTCTTCGAGCGCGTCGCTCAGCCTCGTCTGGGGGCGGGGATTCAGCGGCGCACATCGGGGCCCAGTACTCCTGGAGCTCTGACCAAACGCTCTGATATCCGGAGGCGCCAGAGTCAAGCCAGAGCGCAGACGAGGCCAATTGCATTCTTTCCTTCAGGATGGCCGAGTTGCGGCCATTTTAAAAACATTCGCAGGGCCCGCCGCGCCGCGGGCCCTCCAGCTTGCAAGCTCGCCCACGTTGACAGGCACAGGCCCCTTCTCCCTGATGCTTTCAGCAACTGGACTGGCGCCGACGCCCGCGCCTGCGCCGATCGCGAAGAAGCTGCCCTCAGCACGAGAAGATATACGACGTCGATGCGGATTGAAGCCGACGCGCTGACAAACCCCAGCCGCCGCGAGCAGGCCGCCACGGGCTTCCCGGAGGCACGCTAGTGCCGCGGGGCGAGCCACTGCGCCAAGCACCTGAAGACGACGGCGACGCGCGCCAGGATCACGACGGCACAGCGCGCGGGAGTTCAATGTGACGCAGGTGGCGGTCTCCACACAACCTGCTTCGTAGGCGAAAAATAACTTTCCGATCTGGCGGGCGCGGTCAAACTCGACGCCCACGCTCGAGAAGCTGCTGCGATTCCATTCGTTGCATGGCGCGCCGCGCGGGGGTGGGTGGGCCCGACCTAGGCAATCGGCTCCCACTGATAAGACAGTGCGCCCCCTTCAAGGTCCAAGTAGACGCGGTGCTGCAGTGCGAACTCCTGGTCGATGGCCTGCTGGAGAGTTCGGCGAGCGTTGCCCCTCGCGATGTCAAAGCGGTTCTCGTCGCGGCCAACGAAGACATCGATCTGCCAGTTCCAAGGCCAATCTGATTAAATGTCCTCCGCGCGCCAGCGCTGAGCCTAAAACAGCATGCGCCTGGCGCATCCTCGATTCGATGGTGGCCGCCATGGGGCCCTCGAAACGCAAGACGAATGACCTGCTAAACTGGGGGGCCTCTAGCTTGCATTCTTGTCCGGGCTGGAGGTTGCACGCCTCAGCCCACTCCTAGATGCGCCCGGCAACCTGACTGACGCTGACCTCCTCGCAGGCACCGATCGTGAAGATAGAAGAGTCGATCTCCTTGTCCCATTCGGCTGCGCGCTAAACCGCGGCTCGAGCAAGGGTGACTTTGCCCAAATCGAGCTCCTTCTCCAGTCGCTCGAGACGCGCAGCCATGTCCACATGGGAGGCGGAGCACCCCCACGCCCACCATTCGCAGCCACCCGAACCACGAATTCTTGCATCCTCCGGTTGACTATATGGTAGAACTTTTCGAATGTGGAAGAAGTTGTTTGGCACAGTGCACCAGGCAATGTTTCCAGAAGGCTCCTCGCGCAAACCTCAAACATCCCTGAAAGACATGCGCCTGGTCATTCTCTGAACATCGACGCGTGCATATCCCCCCCTGGCCTGCCTGACAGAACGAGGAGCCCAAGGATCCACGCCACTCCATGCATTGCCATCAGGTGCCGTCGCGCCGTTGGAGGTTGCACATGCGTGATCATACTCTGCCTCTTGAGTGCGCGGGACGGCCAGCAACCCAGGAAGACCACCAATCGGAGTAGACGTACCAGCTTCTTGAGAAGGGAACGTGGCAACTTCATCCAATCCACGAAGACCTTGCGAGGAGGGCACACAGCTGTCGACCGCAAGAATCTCCGCATCAGCTCACCCAGCGACCCCCGCAGCAGGACGATCATCGTCACAGCCACCACGATCACGGCGACCCCGTTGTTGAGCAGAAGTGGGAGGCACCGGGCAGTGATGACGAGACCTCGGAGGTGACGTTCTGCGAGAGGATGGGGAATAGCTGCGTGCCCTTGACCGTATCCTATGCTTGTCCTTCTTGAGCTACTTGGTGCGCTCCCTCGTTCCAAATTTGCCACCCGAGCAATATCCTGGCATCGCAGACGCGCCTGCAGGAACTCGAAACTCCAGTTCATCCGCCGGCGAAGCTGCCAGCAGAGGTGCACAACAACGGCGACCGAAATACAGGGCAGTGTGGTGGGCCCAGATCACACAGTAAAGGCCGACATTCACTGCCAAACAGACCTGTCTTGCCTGCCTCGGACTAACTCGATACCGCGTGGGAACCATGACCTTGCGCCAAAGCGGCTGCGGAGGAGGAACACAAGGAGGAGGAGGAGGAGGAGGCGGAGGAGGGGGATGAGGAGGAAGAGCAAGGAGGAAGAGACGAGCAATAATGAGGAAGAGGCGAGGAGTGAAAGGAAGAGCGGGGGAAGGCGGGGGGCTTGACGGGGAGAAAGACATGAAAGAGGAGGCGACCGTAGAGAAGATAGGAAAGAGGAGCGCGAGGATAACGGAGGGAAGACGAAGGAGGAAGAATAGGAGAAGGGTGAGGAGGGGGAGCAGGAGGAAGAACGAGCTCGACCCTGAAGAGGCGGGGGAGGAGGAAAAACGAGGGGGACGAAACGAAAAACGAGGACCGTATTGGTACGGTTCGCCGTGTGGGGCCTCTGGGGGCGTCCGGGGGCCGCTGGGCCTCCAGAAACGCCAGGAAACATCCCCAGGGACTCCGAGGGGCCTCTGAAGACCTCTCCGGGCCTCTGGACAGGGGGACGGAGAGACGGCCGCCTCCTGCGCCTCCGGCGGGCCCTCGACACAGGATCAGAGCGAATCGAATCGGATCGGCATCGCGGCCCCAGCAGGCGCCTTGGGCCGCATTGGATCGGATCGTGGGAGCCCCCCTTCCTGCGCGCCGCAGGAGGCGGCGTCGGGGACTGTCCCCTCGAGGCGTCCTGGTCTGAGCGCGCTGCGTGGCAGCTCTGGGGCTCGACTCTGACGAAAGAAAAGCCCCGACCTCTGGTCGCGGAGTTGCAAGCGCGGCGGGCGCTTACTCCCGAGACTGCATGGCACTTTCTGTTTGTTAGTTCTGCGCTCCGCTGGGGATCCCTCAAACGACGAGGCCAAGAGACGACGAGAGGGCCCGAGTAGGCAAACGACGGGCCGAGAACGATCAACGACGGGAACCGAAGGACCGACGCAACCGAGCGAGACACCGACAGGAACGCACCGGCAAGGGCCACGACGAGACAAGTCTGGCGGCCAGGAGCAGGAGGAGCAGGGACAGGAGGAGGCGGAGGAGGACGAGACGGAGCAGGACGAGAACGACGAGGACGCCAGAAGGACTTGGAGGAGACGGGGCAGGACGAGCGGCAAGATGACGACAAAGAAGATCCCGACGTCAGGCGGACTATCTGGAGGGGCAAGGACTCTCAACGCCTTCTAACCAGTGTCTCGTCGCGAATAATTGTTCGACGAGCCCAAGGCTTGAAAATGACCCCGGGAACGGAACACACAGAACCAAAATTATCCTGGCGAAGGTCCCAACCATATGCAGTTGTGGGTACCCTAATTGTGAGTATTTGCTTTGGTGAAGCTCCCCATGGGGCCACGAAGCGCTGTACTGGGCGGGGGGGAACGCTGTACTGTGTGGGTGGTGTGCCGACTTGGGTTTCCGGGACGCATGCGGACGGTCCCACGGAGGGCTTCGGTGGAGCTCCCTATGGGGCCACGAAGCGCTCTACTGACTGAGTGAAAATGCCAAGTTGGGTTTCCGGGACGCATGCGGACGGTCTCACTGGAGGCTTCGGTGGAGCCCCCAATGGGGCCACGAAACGCTGCACTGCGCGGGTGAAAATGCCAAATTACATGTCCCGGACGCATACGAACGTGGCGCTGGGGCCTTGGGTGGAGCCCCTATGGGGCCACGAAACGCTGCACTGGGTGGGTGAAAATGCCAAATTGGGCTTCCAGAGCGCATGCGGACGGTAGCGCTGGGACCTTGGCTCCCTATGGGGCCGCGAAACGCTGTACTGGGCGTGCGGGACGCATGCGGACGGTAGCACTGGGACCTTCGGTGGGGCGCCGTATGTGGCCACGAAACGCTGTATGGATGGGTGAAACGCAGGGAGGAGGGGGAGCAGGGCCACGAAACGCTGTACTGGGTGTGCGGGACGCATGCGGACAGTAGCGCTGGGACCTTCGGTGGGGCACCCTATGGGGCAACGAAACGCTGTACTGGGCGTGCATGACGCATGCGGACAGTAGCGCTGGGACCTTCGGTGGGGCTCTCTAAGCGCTGTACTGGGCGTGCGGGACGCATGCGGACGGTAGCACTGGGACCTTCGGCGGAGCTCCCTATGGGGCAACGAAACGCTGTACTGGGTGTGCGGGACGCATGCGGACGGTAGCACTGGGACCTTCGGTGGGGCTCCCTATGGGGCCACGAAGCGCTGTACTGGATGGGTGAAACGCAGGGAGGAGGGGGAGGAGGGCCACGGAACGCTGTACTGGGTGTGCGGGACGCATGCAGACGGTAGCACTGGGACCTTCGGTGGAGCTTCCTATGGGGCCACGAAACGCTGTACTGGGCGTGCGGGGCGCATGCGGACGGTAGCACTGGGACCTTCGGTAGGGCTCCCTACCTGAAGTATGGGGCCACGAATCGCTGTACTGGGTGGGGAGGGGAGGAGGGCCACGAAACGCTGTAGTGGGTGCGCGGGACGCATGCGGACGGTGGAGAGGAGGAGGGGGCAGAGGAGGAGGGGAGAACGCGGGGACCGTCTCTTCGAAACGAAGGCCCAACACCACAGGATGGTTGGGAAAAACAATGTGTTGCTCGAAACCAACCTGTGGTGTTGGGTCTTCGTTTTGAAAAGACAGCGCCACACGTCCCCCCTCTCCTCACCTCTCCTCTCTTCTCCTCTCCTCTCCTCTCCTGTCCTGTCCTGTCCGGTCCTCTCCTCTCCTCTCCTATCCTCTCCTCTCCTCTCCTCTCCTCCTCCGCCTCCTCCTCCTCCTCCTCCTCCTCCATCCCTTCTCCTTATAAATAACTCCTCCCTGTCGCAACCCGAGGCCGGTTTTTAGGGCGGGCCCGGCGTTTCGCCTGAGACGCCCTCACCACTTATGACTCTGAAGCTGAAGAAAAAACAGCGTCACATATGGAGGGCGGGTGGTTTTCAAAATGTGGCTCTCGCCTGAGCGCCGCGCACATTCGTTGTAAACATTGGCAAATAATTTCACGGATTCAGGGCGGGTGGTGTTCAAAATGTGGCTCTCGCCTAAGCGCCGCGCACATTCTTTGTGAAAAACTGCAAGAGCTTCACGGGTTGAGGGCGGGTGGTTTTCAAAATGTGGCTCTCGCCTGAGCGCCGCGCACATTCGTTTTAAACATTTGCAAGAACTTCACGCGTCGAAGGCGGGGTGTTTTCAAAATGTGGCTCTCGCCTGCGTGCCGCGCCTACTCGTTTTAAACATTTGCAAGAACTTCACGCGTCGAAGGCGGGGTGTTTTCAAAATGTGGCTCTCGCCTGAGTGCCGCGCCTACTCGTTTAAACATTTGCCAGAGCTTCACGGATTGAGGGCGGGTGGTTTTCAAAATGTGGCTCTCGCCTGAGCGCCGCGCACATTCTTTGTAAACAGATGCAAGAGTTTTATGGATTGAGGGCGGCTCCTTCTCAAAATGTGTCTCTCGCCTGAGCGCCGCGCACATTCGTTTTAAACATGTGCAGAGTTCCACGGACTCTCATCATCAACGTACCAAAAAAGTGTTTTGGAAGGATTCTGGATTATGCGGGTGCAACAATGATGTTGGTTCGCGGTGTTGGAATCCCCCAAGAAGGCGTTATGGCACGATTCTGGATCGCCAAAATGCAGCAGTCAGGCTGACACGTGGCGTTGACATCCAGAGAACAATGTTTTGGCATGCTTCAGGATATTCAAACAGTTGTCTTCCAACGAGGCAGTTCCCTCAATGGAACTGAACCGTTGTAGAGGCCTATAAAGAGGGAGCTTGGAGGGAGGGTTAATTCCAACATCGTTGATGACTCTCGGGTTTACACTGGTCCTCCTCCTCTTCCTCCTCTCCCTCCTCTTCCTCCTCCCGCCCCTCCCTCGTCTCATCCCTGCGTCTGCCCGGCATATGCCTTCATCTCATCACCATGATGCGCACCCTCACCCAATTCGGCACGCCCCTGAAAACGTTTCGCAGCACCATGGGGGACTCCATCGAAGGCCCCAGCGCCAAAATCCACATAACATACCCACGCCGAATTCGGCACACCCCATCACACGCTTCGTGGCCCCAAAGAGGGCTCCACCGAAGGCCGCAGCAGCAGGGTCCGCATGGCGCACCCGCGCCTGATTCACCACACCCGTCACACGTTCAGTGGCCCCACATGGAGCTCCACCGCAGGCCCCAGCGGCAGGGTCCGCATGTCGTACCCGCACTCGATTAAGCACAGCGCCCACACGTTTCGGAAGGGAGCTTCACCGAAGGCCCCAGCAGCAGGGTCTGCATGGCGTACCCGCGTGTGATTCGGCACACCCCTCACACGCTTCGTGGCCCGGGAAAAACTCCACCAAAGGCCAAGGCCCCAGTGGCAGGGTCTGCATGGCGTACCCGCACCAGTTTCAGCACTCCCCACTCACGTTTCGAGGCCCCAGAGGGAGCTCCACCGAAGGCCCCAGCGGCAGGGTCCGCATGGCGTACCCGCACCCGATTCACCACAGCCCTCACACGTTTCGTGACCCCATAAAGGGGAGTTCACCGAAGGCCCCAGCGGCAGGGTCCGCATGGCGTACCCGTGCCCGATTCAGCACACCCCTCACACGTTTCGTGGCCGGATATGGAGCCCCACAGAAGGCCCTGGCGGCAGGGTTCGCATGGCGTGCCCGCTCCCGACTGACTCGGCACACCCTGTACACATTTCGTGGCCCCGAAGAGAGCTCCACCGAAGGCCCCACCGGCAGAGTTTGCATGGCGCGCCCGTACCCGATTCAGCACACCCCTCATACGTTTCGCGGCCTGGACGGGAGCTTCACCGAAGGCCCCAGCGGCAGGGTCCGCATGGCGTGCCCGCGTGTGATTCGGCACACCACACACACGCTTCGTGGCCCCATAGGGCAGCTCCACTGAAGGCCCCAGCGGCAGTGTCCGCATGGCGTACCCTGCGAGGCTATTATCATACACCACCACCGCCCGCAACAACAAATAATCGCAACAAAAAGATTGGAGGCATGCCCATGCCATACGACGGTGCGACCCTGCGGCACGCCGGAGCGCGGCGCGGCGCGCGGGCGATGTGGTAGGGGAATTCCTGAAGCAGAACAGCACTTCCTGGTGGCAGTGTAGAAATACGAGCTCCTCTTTGCAACCAATATTGTATACCACCACCGCGCGTGTTCTGATAAATTATGTTTCGGTCATTAAGAGATTGGGGGCAGCCCGGTTGCCGTTGGCCGCGGAACGGGGCTGACTGTTTCCACCAGAGCACAACTGCACCGAATCGGATCGTAGATGTTTCCCGATCTTGGTGGTGGTGGTGTTTTTTTTTTGTGCTCGGATGCCCGCACCGGATTCGGTTCACCCCTCAAACGTTTCGTGGCCCCATAGGGAACTTAACCCAAGGGCCGAATGGCAGGGTCCGCATGGCGCACCCACCCCATGTCGGCACACCCCATCACTCCTCCCCCCTGCTTCTTCATACATGCCTCGCGGTCCGCGCAGCTTCACATGGTTGGGCCCTTCGCCAGGATAATTTCAAGACGCCACCTCGAGCGTTCAGGGGGTGTCTCGACGCCCTCCTGATCCTCCACGGCGGTGCGCTCGAGCCCCGCGCACGGAGGCGCTCGTAGCTGCCTTGGGGCGGCCGCGGAGACGAGCGCCAGCCTTCCAGGATCATGTTGTCGTCCACGGGCACCCCTGGCGCCCCCCCACCCCCCCCTTGCGCAGGTGCGGGAAGAGGAGGAGGAGGAGGAGAAGGAGGATCGCGTGCCGCATCTGTTAGTCCCCCTCGTCTCTCGCAGCCATCGTGAAGCTCGGGGGGAGGATGGGGGGAGGGGCGGGTGCGAAAGGAGAGGTCGGCATGCATGCGACTGGCTTTTCCGGCGCCTACTGGTACGCGAGGCGGCCATGTATCAAGGTAAGTGGCCTGGCGGCGAAGTCGAAACCAGCTGTATGCAGCAATTTTGGTACGCCGCCCCTCGGACTCAAGTCGTACAACACTGGCGGGACAGCAATGTTCAATCGTGAACCGAAATTGCGAGTCTGTTTACTCGAGATGTGCAAACTGTGTGGTGGAAGCAACGCCGTGCAAGCTGCGTAGTGTGGAAGCAATGTGATGTGATGGAGGCTACGTGGCGGAAGCCATGTAATGCAAACAGTGTGACAAACACTATGATATGAAAACTGCGTGGCGCAATACTGTATATGTGGTATTGACCGTGTGGTGCAAACTAGGAGTTTCAAATTATCGGTTGAAAGAAATATGGCGGAAGCTATGCGGTGGAAGTTAAACCGCAGAAGCCATGTGGAGCTAGCAATGTCGTCGAAGCTATTTGGTGCAAGCTGCGTGGTGCAATACATGCGGTGCAAGCTACGTCGTGCAATATAGGTGTGGTGCAAGCTTTGTTAGGGCAAGCTATGTGGCGTAATCTACGTGGGGAAACGACGCAAACTATGTGGCGCAATACGTGTGGTGCAAGCTGTGTAGTGTATGCAGGGGGGCAAGCTTTGTGTTACAAATTATGTAGTGCTACCTGTGTGGCGCAAGCTACGTGGTGCAAGCTATGTGGGGCAAGCTATGTTCTTGGGCCGCCTCGGAGCTTCCTTGGCCAACGAGCGAACCTGGGGGCCCCCGCGGCCAGTCTTGAGGCTCTCTTGGGGCCGTCCTGGGCCGTCTGCGGATCCTCGTGGGCCACTCGGGGGGCTCTCTTGAGCCGTCTTGGTTTCCCAGAAATGCCCCGTCGAGCCGTATTCAACAGGCTACAACGTTACCCAAAACATATGATGTCGATACTGGTTGACTTCTTGGACGTCCTTCAGGCGCCTTCCTGAGCCGTCTTTGCGGTCTCTGGGGGCGTTTTGCGCCGTCTCGGAGCCACCTTGGGTCGTTCGGGAGTCGTCTTGGGGCCCGTAGGGTCTGGCTTGAGCACCGTTGGGGCGTTCTTGGGCCTTTAGCTCTCTGAGGGCTCCAGCGACTGGGCCATACCAGTCGGGCCGCACGATGTGCCGGATCGTCTTGCTACGCATGCGCGAACAATGTGCACTGGTGCAGCAGCCCATAAAATGTACGCGCAATCCTGCTCGAGCATGAAATTCCTTACGGGAAACATCGTTTCGGGAGCCGCTGCGGCCCGGATGGCCCTAGATGGCCTCCAATACAAACCAGATGACCCAATAATCAGCCCCCGATGGCCTCCAAACCAACCACGAGTGCCCAGGAAAGCGTTCAAAGACAACCTCAGATTGCCCCGAAACGGCCTGAAATGAGAACAGGATGTCATACCCCCCACCCCGGTCCCGGTACCCTGGGAAGGAGGGGAGGAGAGAAGGAGGGAAGGAGGAGGACAGGAGGAGGGGGCGGAGGAGGACACAGGGGAGGAGGGGAGGAGGAGAAGATGAGGGAAGGGGGGGATGAGAAGGGACAAGGGAAGGGAGGGAGCGAGGAGGGAGGGAGGGAGGGTGCGGGAGGAGAGGAGCCGAGGGAAATATCGCGAGGTAGTGGGGTGCGAGAGGAGGAGCGGGGGAAGGAGTGAGGGGAGGAGTGAGAAAGGGGTGAGGGGGAGAGAGGAGGGGAGAGAGGAGTGAGGGGACGGGCTAGGAGGAAATGAGTGTGGGGAGGAGGTGAATAAGGGACGGGAGGAGCGAGGAGTGCGAAGCGAGGATGGAAGGGGCAAGCGAATGGGGGAAGGAGGGCGGGGAAGAGGTGAGCGGGTAGAGTGACGAGGGATAGGAAGAGGAGTAGCGACAAGTGCTGCTGGGGGAAAGACCCCCACCCCCAGTCCCCGCAGCGCCCCCGAAGGAGCGCCACAAGCGCACCTAAATGCGGGGTATCCTGCGGGGGAGCGCGACGCGCTCGAGACATCCCCCCAAACCGCTCGGATTTCATACCCCCACCCCCGGTCCCGGCAGCACCCTCCAGGGCCTCCGAAAGAGCTCCCGTGGGGAGTCCCGAGGAGCGCGGGGAGGGGCGCCGCGCTCGAGACGTCCCCCAAAACCCTGGTCCCGGCAGCACACACACCCAGTCCCGGAAGCACCCCCCCAACCCCCACCCCAGTCCCGGCAGCACCCCCCACCCCAGTCCCCGGGGGCCTCTTGGAGGCGTCCTGCGAGCCTCTTGGAGGCCCCCAGGAGGCCTTGGGAGCCTCGGAGGGCCTCGGAGGGCCTCGGAAGCTCTGGCAGGCCCTGGGAGACCCTCGGAACCCCAGGACCCAGGACCTCCCAAGGACCTCCAAGGCGTTCCAGGGAAACGACTAGCGAGTGCCCAGCTCGTTCCCACCGTCAACATCCGAACCTCGGATCCCTCCATTTACCTCACCTCCTTATCCCAACCTCGGATCACTCTACTTACCTCGCTCTCCTCAAAACTTCCATATCCCCCACCAGGATGAAATGAAAGGACAGGAAGGGGGAGGACGAGGATGAGGAGGAGAGATGAGAGGGAAGAAATGAAAGGACAAGTGTGGAGCTGGGCAACGCGCGCGCGCAAGCCAATGCAATGCTACGCAACGCCATGCAATACAACCCAATGCAATGAACGCAATGAGCACACATACTTTTTGTTGGCCCTGAGGGATATGTTGGAACCCAGCGCGGTAACTGGGGAGGGGAGTATGCTATCCTGTACTGATGAAAAGGCCGCAGGACATCCCACGAGGGACTCATGAGGGCCCACTCGCGCTCCTAGGAGGCATACGTCGACCAAGAAAGTTATGATTCGCGGCGAGCCTCATTTGTGCATCTCATTTCCTGGCAGGTCCACTGTGAGCGTCTGGCCGTGAGCGTCTGGGTGTGAGGGCGAGTCCGAGTGGACGATGAGTACGGCGGCGGCTACGATGAGGCACAACGACGGCTACGGCGGCGGCTGCGATGAGGGACGGCGACGACGACAGACAACTCACAGACAGGCGGTGAGCAGGCCCCCTGCCCTCTCCTTCCTCTACCTCCTCGTCGAACCCCCATCCATGCTCTTCCTCCCTCCTCCCTCCTCCCGCTTCCTGCGTCTTCCTCCTTGCTCCTCCGCCCCCCCCCTCCGTCCTGGCGGCCGTCTTTCCCCCTACATAGAAGTTATCATGGGGCTCGGAATGAACAAAAGTCGGAGGTGCAAAACCGAGCACCTCGCCAGATACGTTCCCACGATCTGGCCGCCTGGGGTGCTGAACCCAAAGACTCTTTCGAGACATGCTCACAATCTGCTGTGGAAGCACCGAAGTCTAAACCACCAGACAGGCAAACCGCCTAAGACATCCCCGCCATGTGGGGGCGAACTGGCCTATGAAATACCTCTGGCGGCTCCCCCGTAGGGTACTGAAGCGAGCGCCTTGCTCGCAATCTGTTCTGAAAGCAGCGAAGTCCAAACCACCGAATAGGAACACCGCATGAAACGTTCCTGCAACCTGGGCGCACACGGGCCTGGGAAATACCCCCTGGCGGCTGAAGCCAGCACCTCACCCGAGACGTCCTCCCAAGTTGAATGTGAGGCGGCCCTGAGTGTGAGTGGTCTGTGTGGGTGGGTCTGAGAATGAATGAGTCCGCATGTGGGAAGTGAGTGTGACTGTGCGGGCATCTGGGTACGAGCTAATCCGGGTATGCGCGAATGCGAGTCTATCTGGGTAGGTCTCAGCCTGAGTGCTGAGTGCTGAATCTGAGTGAGTCTGAATGTAAGTTTCCGTGTGGGTGAGCCTCAGTGTGAATGAGTCTGAGTGTGGGTAAGTCTGAGTGTGGGTAAGGAGAGGGACGACAAAAAAGGGTGGCGGACGCGGCACACGAATTATTCCATGCGGAGATCATCATTTGTGCACCTCATTTCCTAGCACGTCCCGCTGTGAATGTATGGCCGGGGTCGTCTGGGAGAGAGAGGGAGAGAGCGGATCCGAGTGGACGACGAGTACCACAACGACAACGTTGACGGCGGCGGCTACAATGAGGGACGGCGACGACGACGACAACTCACAGACAGACAGGGGGTGAGCAGGCCCCATCTCCCCGCCCTTCTCTTTCCTCTTCCTCGTCGTCGCGCCCCATCATTTATCTTCCTCTCCAGCTTCCTCCTTGTGTCGCAACTCCATTCCCTTCTCCTCGGAATTCTCGTTCCCTCCCACCGCCTCTCATCTACATGGCCAGGTATGGCACGGCGCGCGAACATTGTATGCCATAATCCGTCTGTCGCCGCCTACTGTGGAGGGAAGGGGGTTCAACGGTTCAACGGACAGGGAGAGGGGCCAGTGTCACGAGACCAGGAGGTTTTCGGTCTGCGTCCCAGCCTTCTCCTCGCTCCCGTTCCCGTCAACGTGACCACTCCCACCCCCCGCCCTTCTCCGACAAGCACAACAAACCATCTGTTGCCGCTTTAGCGTGTTCCGTCCAGTTGCCCATTATGGAGGGTTGGGACTCATGTGCAGATTTGGACGGTATGGACACCTTGCTTCGGTTCAACGCGCTCCGTCCGCTGTGTCGCAGGGGTCCCATCGTACTGCACTGTACTTTTTTTTTCCTTGCCGAACAGACTCCGGCAAGATAAAAGGCTCGAGCGCACCCCGGCGTCTTTTGAGCCTGGGGTGGAGGCCCTTCGAAACTTGGCCGCAGCCGAGAGATCCTCTGCGGCTATGCCTCTGAGAAGCCCGCGCGGAGGGTAGAGGCTTCCCACGACGCCGTGGTCGGTGGGCGCGCAGCTCAACACTCCCCCATACGGCCCCTGCATCACGACTGCCTCAAAAGTGCACGGCCGCGACCTGCACACGGTCGCCATGCCCTGGGCGCGTTGCAGAACGAGTCCACAGGCCACCGGCTGTGCGAAGAACTCACGACGGCCAATCTTTTCACGGCCTGAGGCCCGGGACAGTCCAGAATTACCCAGGACAAAGAAAGGTACCTCGGGGAGCCCATGTCACGTCACGAAAGAGCCGATAAGGCTCCAAGACGGCTCCGAGAGGGCCCTCAGAAGTCTTCGAATATTCGGCCATGCGCGCATCGCAAACACGCCCGCGAACACTTACTGACTGGAAGCTATGTGCAGAAAGTTTCCCGTGGGGCCCCGTTCTACCAAACGCGGTTGCGGCCATGCCTGGCAGCGACACTGATCACTGACAAGGTCGCGATGCTTCCCAAAACTGCTCAGACTACGCTGAGCGGAGGCCGACAATGTTGGGCAACTCTGGATATCTACATGTGAAAACGCGTACGTGCTCGCATGCTCATCAGCATGAAGCAAGCCTGTCAAAATGCGTTTCATTTTGGCAATCTGGTGTAGCTGGAAAGGTTATAGTGCTGTCCCACATTGGCTGCACCAAGCTGGGCGGAAACCTGCAATTACAGTCCTTTGGACAGCTCGATCTGGATGACTACACACAGCGCGGGCCCTTACATTCAACTCTTGTAAGGTAGCGCTGAGCGGAAGCCGACAATGTTGGGCAACTCTAGATATCTACTTGCGAAAACGCGTACGCGTCGCATGCTCATCAACCTGAAGCAAGCCTGTCAAAATGCGTTTCACTGTGGATCGTACTGCACTATACTTGCTTCCTGGTGCCCGTGCAGGAATATTTTGTTGTTAATACTATGCTAGCAGCTGCGCCGCACTCCGTTGACAGGCCATCGGCTTCAACAGCTTTGCAATCAAATCCCTCTTCTCCCACTTGCTGCGTCTTTACCCTTCCTCTTCCGTCCTCCCCCCTTCCGTCCTGGCGGCCGTCGTTCTCCTTACATCGAAATAAACATGGGCTCGGAATGAGCAGGAGTCGGAGGTGCAAAACAGAGCACCTGCTAGATACGTTCAAACGATCTGACCGCCTGGGGTGCTGAGCCCAGCGCCTCGCTTGAGACATCCTCAGGATCCGCGCAGAAGGCACCGATGTCCAAGCCACCAAAATGGCAAACCGCCTGAGGCAGCCCCACACTCCAGGCGTGACTGGGTCAGTAAAATACCCCTTGCGGCCCCTCCTTCAGGTGAAACCAGCGACTCGCATGAGACATGCTCACAACCTGCCGAGAAAAGCATAGCAATCCAAGCCAACGAACAAGCAAACCGCCTGAGACATCACCACCATATGGGCGCGAACGGGCCAGCGCAATACCCTCTGGCGGCCCCTCGTCGGGGTGACGCCAGCGCCTCGCTTGAGCAACCCTCGCAGTCTGCCCTGAAAAGCATACAAAGAGTATAGGCGCATCCGAGTATGAGTGAGACTGCATGTTGAGTATGAGTATGAGTGAATCTGAGAGCCGGAGCGCCTGAGTATATGTGACCTGGATAAAAGTCTGAGCACGAGTGGTTCGAGTGTGGTCAGAAGGACGATGAGGAGGAGGAGCGACCCGCGTTCAGAGGGGAGAGAGGGAGGTCCCAGTCCATCACAGCCAGAGGGCAAACACGCGCGCGGGGCTCGCCTGGGCGATGGCCGTATACTTCACGACCGTCCCGAGCCCGACGCTCCCACGCCGGCTCTGGCCAGTGATTCGGCAACCCGCGATCGACGAACCTGGGTTCGGACACGAGCACGAATGAGTCCTACCGTACGCACAGGCGAGGGAGGGGAGCACGAGGACCGAAGGGATTGGAAGGCAGAGTGCAGACAGTCAATGGCCAGGCATGCTGACAGAAACTCATCACGATTCGGGGGGAGGAGGTGGGGGAGGAAGGACGCATATGGGTCGACTCCGTAGTCTTCTGGGAGAAGTCGATATCCGTGTTCCACAGCACCAACAGCAATAGGGCATGCCATATAATGTAATATATCATCCCCACCCATAGCTTGGCGCGCTAAACGACACCCAACAGCTCCACTACGATAACGTCTGGTCGTATTCCACGAGTTAAAGATGGTTTTTAGGCAGGCAGTGGCGACGAAACCAGGGAGTTTCATACCCAGACTATACAAGCGCAGGAATGCCCGATCAGCGTACTCCATAGGACAGTGGGGGATCCACTTCGCAATCCGAGGGTATAAGATAGAGGCGATTGGCGGCATGGGGTTGGGCAAAATCAGCTGCTTAGATATATATGCTTGAACTCTATTTGCTGGTATATCACCTGGCTGGGGATGGATGCGATAAAAACTCTCATGCGCTTCCTTCATCTGCATGAGTATCGAGTGCTGGGTCATGATCTTGAAACGCCATGCCACACAGCACTCATCAGAGTCGGCCCAGAGATCTAGCAGCCTGGAGTAGAAAAGGTAGCACGTGCTACGGGTCGCGGTACGAATCATACAGGCACGGGCGAATATTTCCAGCCTCCTAGCTTCCACTTGATGCCCAAGCATTCTCAGGTTGAACAGGGGCATCGGTGGAAAACTGTGCCTGGGGGAACATGTTAGCAGTTGAAGCCGATCTGTTTCCACCGACCGTGCTCTGGGAGGAGGAACATGCACCTGTGCAGCGTGAGCAGCGACAGGCAGCCCGCACAGGTTGTCCGCGGCCACACTACTGGAAAGCCCCAGGCCCAAGGACTTGATTCTCAAACACCGTCCTTTAAGTTTGGCCAGGATGGGATCCCAGGATTTTTCGGCACCATCAATGCCCACCCCCACTCCGAGGTACCACCCACACCTGGAAACAACAAAGCGATGAACCTTAATCCCCGCCCCCCTACATATGGAAATCGCCTGGGCGCACGTCGCCGCGTCAGGGGAGACGAGCTGGCACTTCTTAAGGTTCAGAGACAGACCAGTAGCCCTCCCACTCTGCACCATGACATTACAAATGCGTGGCAATACCGCCACCAGATCGAATGCTGTCGCGACAAGGCCGTCGGCGAACACATTGAAAGTGACATCAGCCTGAAGCGAGTCACGTTGCAGCCGTCGCACTACAGGGTCGAAGCAGAGACTAAATAGTAAACCACTGAGCGGACACCCTTGTTTTATACCACGACATAGATGGATATAATATGGATCAGAGTTATTGAACTGGACGACCATGCGACTATTCTCATAGAAAGCCATAATGCTGAATCTAATAAACTCAGGAATGCCATATGCACGTAGAATCGCCCATATATATACATGGTCAATGCTGGGGGAGGCAGCCTTCAGGTCGAACGCGGAAGATCCTGCTCGACGGCAGTCGCAAACAGAGTGCGCGAGCATCAGATTGGCGTCAACCTCAATTATGTTGTCAATCATTTGCCTGCTTTTTAAAACATTTCTGGGCACCCTGGACCAGGTCACTAGCAACCATGGAAGGGGTCCAACCACTGCTTGCACTCACTAATTTGTTGTCCGCACTCGAAAGCGAAAGCGGTCTAGTTTCGTCGGCGCTACGGGTGATGGTCTCACCCTCCTGTGAGTTCAAGTTCCCCTTGGGCCAGAACGCAGCCGCACTGTCGTGGAAGTTGGGCGGCAAAGACTGGTGGTCGACAAGCTCGCGATAGACGGCATTTAGGCATCCCACTCCAATCTCCCCAGACGCTCTCCGCGCAGAGTAGGGAATACCATCAGGCCCAGGGCGCGAACCAGATTTTTTGTCCAGGATCTCCGCAAGAACGACCTCAGGAATAATCCAAGGATAAATCGAACCAGAGGCAGAGACATACTGATGTGGGTCGTCAGGAATAGGCGTAATCGTTGACGAAAGCGAGTCAATCATCGTCCTATCCACCTCACGAGCACTAAAGATACCATTCCAGTGGTCAGCCAATAAGCGGGAGCACTCATTCGGATCGCTGTGGGCCATGCCGTCAGCGCCCGTCACCCGCTGGAGAAAAATCTGGCGACCAGATTTCCTCCATGCCTGACAAAGCCGACGGATGCGAACAAGGGCTTGTGCGGCACGGGCCCCACCACCGCCCCCGTCGGCCTCCGCTCGAGCAGAGGCTTCGCGGGCACGAAGGTTCTGGCGCATCAGGTCGGCAAAAAGCACGTCGAATCCTGAGCGGTCAGTCCACCACAGCTCTTGGGGATCAAGATACCTGCAGAGATCGGGAAACCCATGGGGGCCCTTCGAGATCTTACGGAGGCCCCCACCCCGAGCACCCCTAAGAACACACACCATAGACGCAAGTTTTTCTTCAACGGACCGGGCCCCCTTTTCATGTACCCAGTCCTTGACGGGCTGCGCGACGAATCGCACGACCTCTTGAAATTTCCAGAAGTCGGCCAGCTGGCACCTCCGAGGGAGAATCTCCTGGAGCTTGATGCTGAACTGTGCGCGTTTGCTAACCCAGCTAGGAATTCTGGCGTAGCTCCCGAGGGGGTCCACGAGGCAACCGAGAGGAACACTGGACAGTGGTATGAGGGGGCCTTGATGTCCGTAATTGGCCACAACGTCCACGTACGGGGGCACAAAGCTAATGCATCTTGAGACGCCAAAGTAGTATATATACGGTCCAGTCTGCAAACGAGACTTGGGAGGAAGGTCCCTCGGCGCCCTCCAAGCGCCGAGTGATCCTGTGCGTGTCCCTCTCCTGTGCAACCTCTCCGAGCTGGCCGAGCGCTGCAAGAAAATGGTTAGCTAGCCGCGAACCGACTGGGCCATCCAGGCCAGTATCTGTGTGGAGCCGTGATTCGCCTGTAGCCATAAAATTCCAATCGCCCACGACGAAGCCGAGAGAAAGCGTTGACGGAAGTAGGATGCGATGGATACGAGCGAACATCCCCCTGACCTCCCGCTCCTGCCAATCAGGGGCAATATGCGCGTTGATTATCTGGAGACTCCCATGAGGACCTTGGAGAAGGAGAGAGGCAATGCGACCAGCACAGAGCGGCTCGAGCTGCACTGAAGTAAACTTTGCCAACGGGCGTCGCGAGACGAAGAACCGTAGGCCACCAGCAGCGGCGGACGCGCAAAAGGAACCGAACGGCTTGTGGGACTTGTAATCTTTTTCCAACTGATCAAGGTCTGCTTCAATACCATGCGACTCCTGAATACACACCACCTCGTTTTTGTCGAGCAGTGTTCTCAGACGCCTGAAAGTTTCCCGAATAACATTTTGACACTTGAATACCGACCCCAGAAAAGTCTGCACGTTCCAGGAGAACACGCTGAGCCGTTGACCCACTGCAAAAGGACGAGCAAGGAGGGGAGGAGGGGGGAACTGACTGCCTGGCACATGAAACTGACTGCTGCTATCACTGCTGCTGCTGCTATCCGAATTATCAGATGACTCTGAGCCTCCAAACGAGGCTGGGGAAGAAAAAAAATGCTGGCCGCATGAGGCGACCCCTCCGCCTCAACAGGACCACCGTGCTCTGCACCCCTATGGACACTACGAAGATGCCCTGGTTGCGCGTCTCACAGCTGTGCTCGCACCTGCTCTATGATGGCTGACGCCTTCTCAGCGCTGATCCCCCACTCCGCGAGCTCCTCATGGATCGGGATGAGCTCCGCATCAGCCTTCGACTGGTCCTTCGCAGCGACGATCTCCCAGACGCCGTCCTCATCCCGTACGAGGAGGACCCCCTTGAATCCGTTCACCCCCAGGCGGCAGGTAGGTCCCCACTTGGGACTCTTCCTCAGCTCCGCCAGGACGGGCTCGTAGATGCCGCTAAAGGCCCTTTGGCGCATCCTCGCATCCACAGGCAGATTTGCACGGCAGCGAATCGATGAACACTTGTGGGTACGATCGTCCAAGAACTCATGACCTCCATCCTCGTTGCACCTCTGCTGGGAAGTCTTGGCTGCGACGGCGACGGCTGGTAACTCTGCGATATCCCGTGGAAAAACGTGGCGACGCCCTGCAGCAGGTGGCCATAGCGCGGCAGCACCGTCTCGTTGTAGTGCTTCTCTCTGGCCTTCTTGAGCAGCGGCCTCGGAAATGTCCCCAGGAAGCGAACGCATGCATCGGAGGGAGCCTGACGACTAGGTCCACCACCCCCACCTCCGCCAGCAGCGTGAGCGAGACGTTCTCCTCCCTCCTCTGTCAAACCAGACGAGCTCATGTTCGATGATGGGGCCGAACGCGATTGCAACTCTGTCAGCTGGACCTGGACCGACTCCATCTTTTCTTGCACTGCAAGGGCCACGGCAGCAGTGATCTTGTCCTGAGAGCTCTCCTCGACAGCGATCAATCTCTCATTCATTATCTGTACGTTCTGGTCCTGGACAATCAATGCATTCCTGAATGATATCATATATTGCTGCATGCTTTGCCCCAACTTAGCGATGTTATTGTTCATTCCACGAACTTCATTCATCATATCCTTCATCCACACCGGAGGGTGACAGCTTGACTCCTCCCCAGCGCTCCTGCTCCGATCATCACGAGGCGGGGGGTAGCTGGGCGATCGATGCTCCCTACGGGCGCGCCTCGGCGTAGCTGATGACCTGCGCGCCGATGGCGAAGCTACCCTCGACGGGCTGGAGGACTCCGACGTGCGCCCCGCACGCCTGGCCTTCGGCCCGCGCCCCATTGCGGCAACCGTCTTAACCGACGGGAACGGTGTACAATACACGGACACGGGGCAAAATGCGTGTGTGACAGTTCGCACAAAAGATAGCCCGAGGACTGCTCGGGCGAGCTCCTTTGTCCCCAAGCGCGTGCGCGGCGGGCGCTGGCCACTTGAGTCGGGGGGTTGAGTTCCCGATATGGCCTTGAGCCAAAATGGCTACGGACGAGGAGGAGGATGAGGAGGAGGAGGCGCAGGAACACGCGAAGGGATTCGTCGGCGTCATGAGCGAGTCTGAGTGCGACTGAGTCTGAGTTCGAGCGAATCAGAGTATGAGTGATTCTGAATGAAGACGAAAAGGAGTTGGGCGATAGGGAGGCACGAGGTGTGTGTGTGTGTGTGTGTGTGTGTGTCGGAGGCACCTGAGTAATAACGAGAGTCCAGTTTAGGATATGGAGACTAAGAAGAGACCAATACTTCTGAAGTGAGGCATCGCTTTTGAAGGAGTTCACCCAATCTACTATTTCGGGCCTTCACAGTTTCGAAACGTCCGAAGTCCTCCCCAATATCGCCCCCCGACAATCCAAAACGCCCCCACCGGAGCCGCGGGTCGGCCCAACGACTGCCCAAGAAGGCCCCAAAATGGCCCAAGAGAAACATTCCAAGTGAACCCCAAGATGGGCTCAAGGCCGCCTCAGAGAGCCCCATGACAACCCCAGAAGACACCCACAAGACAATCCCAATATATTCCAAAGACAACCTCTATGTGAGCCAAAAGCGCAAGAACGTTTCAAAACTGCTCACGGAGGCCAAACACAGCCAAGAAAGCCCCACTAAATGTAAGTTTCTTTTGCTTGCACGACTGGTACCACTCCGCTTCCACACTCGTCCATCCTTCCCACACCATTCCCAATTCCACCTCGCTACGCTTCACAGTGAGGCCCAAAGACCTCATGAGCTCTACGGCCGACGAGCCCTATGAGCCCCTGAGCCCAATGAGGCCCACGGTCCTTGAGCCCTACGGCCTAGAAGCACTATAAGCATCACAGGGCTCATGAGCTTTTTGAGCCCTGTAGTATGGACGACTCCTGTACGACATTGAACTATTGCGAGGCTCACGAGCCGGATGAGTCCTACAAGCACTATGGCCTCCGAGCCCTACAAGGACGTCAGGGCTCAACTTGCCGCATCGGCTTCATAAGCTCTGTGAAACCACGAGCTCTAAGAACCCGTCGCGCCCTAGAGCTCTACGACGCCCATCACCGTCACGACCCTCGGGGGCGCTCGCGCCCAAGAGGCAATGGGGCCACTACCGCGCTGTACGACCCCCACGAGACCCGTCTGCCTTCTCACCGATTGAGGCTTCACGATAATATCGGCACCGTGGTCCACATGATCCTGATGACCCGCAAGAGCCCGTGCGCCTCATAGACCCATGGATCCCATCATCTCTGTGAGACTTCCAGACCGCATGAGCCCCATGCGCTCTTCAACCTATGGGCCCTACGAGCCCTGAGAGCCCGATGTTATCTAACTGCTGCTCAAGCTGCTCTGACCGTATAGGGGGCCATGAGCTCTACGGGGTCTATGCGCCGCATGCGCCTCAGAACCCTTTTTTTTCTCAAGAGAGGGACTCCCGGCAGCACTCGAAGGCGTCCGAGGCGAATGCTCCCACTGTATGGGCGAGAAACGGGAGACGCTACAGCCTAGACATGCCAGACGTGCCGCTCGAGCAAGGCAAAGGGGCCCAAGGAAAAAGTTTGACAGCGGTGCTCGCCCTGCGCTCCCCCCGCGCGGCCGCCACCACCCACCCGGCCCCCCCGCACCACCTCGGGCCCGCCCTCGCGAGGAGCGGCCCACCACAGACTGACCAGGGCGCCAACTGCGCGGGCGCTCGCGTTGCGCCCGCCACGCACACGGTGGGTGAGACAGCCATCGCCTCCGCGAGGTCATTGCGCAAGGCCTGGTTGGACGCGCACGCGCAGGCGGTAATTTACATTAGGAGGGTGGGGCAGCGCGCGAATGGGCGCGCCGAGGAGGGGAGATCGTGCTTGCCGCCCGAGGGAGGCCGGCGGTCGGAGCACAGCGCGGGGGCGCGGCCTCTGCGGGGCCGCCTGCATCTGGACGGCCGCGGCGGAGGCGCGCCCAGCCCGAGCCCTGGGGGGCGGGCTCTCCCAGGCCCACGGAATGGCCCGGTGGCAATACAGAAGCACGGTGAAACCACCCAGCCGCTCACGCAGACGAGGCCAAGGGGCGCCCAGGGGCCCGGGGCGCGGCCCCTGAAGCCCCACAGAGCCACGTGCGGCCGAGAGCCCCCGGGGGCCCCGCGGCCCACTCTGTAGGGCACGCAGCGGGCGCCCCGGGGGGGGCCGCTCCCAGGCAGGAGCTCCGTCGAGGTCAGAGATCGGCGGCGCGCCTGGGGGGGAAGGCGAAGTTGAGCAGAAGAGGCTAGATCAAAGAGGTCAGACAGGTCCGGGGGCCGCTCCGCGGCCTGAGCTCCGTAAAGAGGCCCTGCCCGTCGAAGTCAGAGAGAGATGATGCCCTGCGAGGCGGACTGCGTACGGACAGACTCCTGGACGCGCCCGCTGAGCCTGAGGATGGCCTCGATGCCGACGGCCTTGTCCCCAGCGACCGAGGCGGCGTACTCGCCGCCCCCGAGCGCCGCGGCCGCCTCCTGCGCGGACCTGTGCAGCCAGAGGTCGGCAACGTGCTCGCGCGCGGCGTCGTTCCCGATGCCCGTGTCTCCGCTGATGACGAAGACCTGCAGGCGGAGGCGCTCGCTGCACGCCGGAACGACCCCCTCTTCGCTCACCGCGCGCATGGACGTCCAAGCCTCCGCGCTGGTCCAGAAGCGGTGGCTGCAGCCCGGGTCCCACAGCAAGAGCACCGTGCACCCGAGGTAGAGGTACGACAAAACGTTCTTCAACGTCAGGTCGAAATCGGCCTTGTCCTCATCAGTATGCCAACCTTCCATGCCGTTATCGAGAAATTTCTGTGGTATCGATATACAATCGAGCCACAGATATTCGATGCTGGGGTCACTGCGCAAAACTTGTTTCAGCTTCTTCAGCTTAACGCAGTCAGGGTCTATGTGATTGGCCCTGCTCCAACGATGGCTAACTACAGCCTTGCCTCGCCTGGCCTTGCCGCTGATAACGTCTTGATCCGTGATGTACAGGCGCTCCAGCATACCTGCGTCCCTTAACGTCTGGTGACGGGGAAGGCACTGGTCATCAGACAGGCCCAGAAAGCTCCTGCGGGAAATGAACCAGAAGTACATGCCAACGCCATCCTGCGCTGGGATACCGAGATTCCTCTCGGGGCCTTCTGAAACGACCGTCGCGAATTTGTCAGACCCTGCGTTCTTCCACCAGGCCCGTGTGTTACTCTTAAGCTGCTTGTCGGTCTCCACCTGGGCCAGCGTAAGTCCATCCGAAGTATCGTCCGACGTCTCCTCATGTGCAAGCCCACCTGAACAATCGCCCACCTGCAGCTGAACTAGGTCGGGAGGATCTAATGCAGGGCCGTCTGAAGATCTAGCCCTGAACTTGTCGTTTCTGAAATATCTTGACATCAGCCAGCCTGCGATGCCGACCATGCAGCAGAAAGCGCAAGACACTACGGCAACTATGATAACTGCGCTCGAAGATGTTTCCGACTCGAGCGTGTCCGCCGGCGTAGAAACCGTGACTATGGAGCCCACAGGGTAGCTATTCTCCAAAGGCGCGTCGAGAATGAATGATCCGAATGCGGAGATCGTGCTCACCTCTGAGTGCCCTGCGCCAGCGATGAGGATGGTGTCCCCCTCGCTGAAGCCCTCCTGGGACTCCACGTCCAGCTCCTGCGCTCCTGTTGACGCCGGGCTCACCAGGCGCGTCCAAGCGCGGGCCTGGGCCAGCGCACTCGGCACGCTGGTCACCGAGGTCGACGAAGTGCTGGTCGCCAACAAAGTCGACACGCTTGACTGCGTGGAGGTAGCGGGTGCCGAGGTAGTCTCCGTGGTGTGCCCCGACGTGGTACTGGTCGCCGACACGCTGGTCGACGACCAGCTGCTTGTCGCAGTGCGGGTGGCCGCCACGATCGTGCTGGTCGCCAACAAAGTCGACACGCTTGACTGCGTGGAGGTAGCGGGTGCCGAGGTAGTCTCCGTGGTGTGCCCCGACGTGGTACTGGTCGCCGACACGCTGGTCGACGACCAGCTGCTTGTCGCAGTGCGGGTGGCCGCCACGATCGTCGGATCAGACGCACCGAAAGCGCCTGTGAATTCAGCCACCGCCTCTTCGTCATGTCCAGGCATATACACCGTGGTCAGCGTGTCAACGTCCAAAGCGTTTTTCCCGATTTCCGTGACTGACGCTGGGATGGTCAATTCGACCAGCGCGGTACCTTTAAAGGCCCAAAGCCCGATGGTTGTCAGTGAGCTCGAAAGCGTTGTAGAAAGCAAACAATCCAATAAACGTCACATTGTCCGGGATCGTGAAATTGACAAGTCCCGCCGCTTCGAAAGCATAATCCCCGATGGTAATCACAGAACCTGGCAACTCCACATCGGTCAGCGCGGAGCATGCTTGAAACGCATACTCCGGAATGGCTTCGACCCCCGGGCAAATCACAACCGAGGGGCCATAGTAAGAGGCATTCGCACTTGAAGGGTCCTCGCCCTTGCAGGGCCCGCCAGATTCCGCACCGTTAGGCACGGCAATGTCGGCATACGATAAACATGCAGAGTCCACAACATAGACAGCAGCAACAATCATCAATATTATCCTGCGACAGCAAGCCATTATTGCTAACATTCCTGCCAGAGACTCACGGGTACACCCATAAATTCATCATGGCTTGCATTTCTTGACTTGAGCCATGCGCCTCAGAACCCTGCAACGCACATGCAGCACTTTGCGATCCTTTCGAACCGCGTGGCACCTGGGGGCAGCATTGGCCGTGCGAGCTTCACTCACAACATCGGCACCGTGAGCCCCATGAGTCGTACCGTGTGAGCCGCAAGAGCCCCATGCGCATCGAGGCCCTGTGACGCCCATCTGCTCTGAGACACATCTGCGCCGCAAGACCCCGCCCCACGACGCCCATCACCGTCACGACCCACGGGGGGCGCTCGCACCCAAGAGGCAATGGGGCCACTACCGCGCTGTACGACCCCCACGAGACCCGTCTGCCTCATCACCGATTGAGGCTTCACGATAGTATCGGCACCGTGGTCCATCTGATCCTGATGACCCGCAAGAGCCCGTGCGCCTCATAGACCCATGAATCCCATCATCTCTGTGAGACTTCCGGACCGCATGAGCCCCATGCGCTCTCCAACCTATGGGCCCTACGAGCCCTGAGAGCCCGATGGTATCTAACTGCTGCTCAAGCTGCTCTGACCGTATAGGGGGCCATGAGCTCTACGGGGTCTATGTGCCGCATGCGCCCCAACACCCTGCAACGCCCATGCAACTCTCTGAACCGCGTGGCACCTGTGTGGACCGCGGGAGCCAGATGAACCCGATGGACACCATTGGCCGTGCGAGCTTCACTCACAATATTGGCACCGCGAGCCCCATGAGTCGTACCGTATGAGCCGCAAGAGCCCCATGTGCATCGAGGCCCTGTGACGCCCATCTGCTCTGAGACACATCTGCGCCGCATGACCCCGACAAGCTGTGGAACTTATGAGACCCGCGAGGCCTATGAACCCGATGGGACCCAGGATGGTCGAGCTCCACGAGACCCATGAGGTCTATGGACTGCAGGAGCCCTCGACGACGTTTCAGACGGCACGATCCCAAAAAGCTCTGGAGCCCATGAGCCGCGCGTCCCGCACGAGCCCCCCCCAAGCTCGAGGGACTCTTCTCCACTCGCCATATTGGCAACGGCCCGTAAATGCCAAAAGCAGTATACATATTAGGTATACAAAACAAACAAATTCCCTCCTCCTCCCTCCGACATCCGACGTCGTGGACAAATCACGACGCCGTGGAACATCACGACTGGAGCTCACGGCCCTATCTGGACCTGGGACTTCTCAGGCTGGAGCGATCCGCGGGGGTCTTGGGGCCCGCAACGGGGCAAGCACAAGCCCGTCTTGACTTTCTCACGATGCACGGATGTATCTGAAGTCTAAGCTCAGGTCTCCAGAGGTCCTCGAGTCCTGCGAGGTCCAGGCCTCCGGAGGCCAAAACAAATCAATCAAAACTCATGACCCTCGATGCAGGTCGTCCGCGGCGATCACAATGGAACGCATACCGAACCGACATCAAAACCGACACCGATAGGCCGCAAGCAGACGCACCGACGCAGCCACAGCAACCGACCGAGCCGAACCGACAGAACGACCACCGACTGCGACGCAACCGAGCCGACCGACCCGCGGACACCCTCGCTCGATCAACGATCCTCGAGAGCCCTCCTCTCCGCTTGCCCGTCCGCGCACGCCAACCCCCCCCCCCTCTCCAGCGGAGAAGTTCGCGGGCACCACGCCAGGGTGCAGGTCCTCGGCACCCAGCACGCGGCGCGGCGAGGCGGCGGAGGGGGCGCGCCCAACACACCGCGCCGGGGGAGTGCAGAAAGGCGGAAGGGTCCGTCGCCGACGCCACACCGCGCCCGCCCACAACAGCAGCATGAACGACCAGTGAAAAGTATGCGTGCGTTTGCATTTGAAGGCGCATATGGGGCAAATTTCGGGTCCCGCGAACGTGAGACGTTATCTTGAGCGAAAGACGGCTCCGAGAAGGGGTCTGGGCAACCAGCATTGGCAGAGCAGGCATCGGATATCTTACAGACCTCCAACGTATTGAGTAACACGACGGGGAAGCGTGCCTCATATTACGATTGACATCGGAGGCCCGTTTTGGGCCCCCAGGCCATCAACAACAGTACGGGACGGAAAAGCGGTAGGGGTCCAGAGGTCCAGGGGCACCATACTGGTCAAAATAAACATGTCTGAGGTGTGGCTGCTGCGCCCAATGCGTACGACCGGCTATTCTATGTGGCACCGCCGGCGACTATCCTGGGCCGTTTCGCGATGCCTCCCCTGCTGAGCGCCTCCGGCCGTCCCACTCCGCTCCACTCACTGACACGGTCAAGCGGAGGTTTGTCGAGGCCAGGAGGAGAGAAGAGGAGGGGAGAGGGGAGAGGAGCCCGGGAGGCGACGGGACGGCGAAGAAGCAGGCGTCCTCCACCTGTTCCGGGTCCGGGAGGTACTGGAACCCATAGGTGGCGGGGACCACCCCGTCGACAAGGACCCTGTAGCCGAAGGCAATGACCTGTCAGAGAGAGTGGCGAGCGCTCTCATGCTCGACTCCACGGTTTCCTCTTCCTTTTTTTGTGGCTATGGATGATGGTAGCGAATCCGTCCATCTTCCTCCTCCTCCTCCGCCTCCCATCACCCTGCACCTCCCCCGGGAGTTCGAGGAGTCGAGGAGTTTGCAAGTCATGCCGAGTACTCTGGCTTGGAGATCCTGGCAACTTCTTGCGAAGACTAGCACGCTCCCTGCTCTGAGCTTGAGCTGGCACTCCGATCGATCCGATGTGCAGCGTTCAAACGGTTAGAAATGGCAAAAACAATCCTAGCCTCAACTCATGATTTGGACCCTGGAGAGCTGCTTCAGTTTTCCGGCCGCGCCAGCGGGTCTAAGTTTAGTTAAGTACCCTTTTTGGCAGCGTGGGGCCGCGAACGTGCTCGGCGACCGACGGCCCCCACGAAACGATGGCTTCAGCTGCCCAGAATTTTGAATCAGATGCTAGGACTGGCCAAGAAAAAAGATGGTCGGGGTGGCGGTACCTGGGGAACTCTTCGGGACTCTCTTACCAGAGGCAGCTCTTGTCCGGCTGACGCCGCCTCAGACCTATTGAGGCCCCTCCCAAGAGCTTAGTTGCTAGAAAAGCTCTGCGTGCTGCCCACCGCGTTTCAAAACGTTCATACAGAGGTAGCTTCCACGGTCGCATCTGACGGCGATCCGTCAAAGCAGTCATGGCAGGAGTTTGCTCAGTCCTCTGCCCTGAAGGGAGGACGCATCGCCCACCGTCTCAGCAAGAGTCCAAAACCTACGTCAGAACCTAGGGAACGGGGAGCCCCCCCTTGCGGGGCAGAAAGCTCTCGAAAAGCTGCTCGAAGAATGGATCCCCAATGGCTCACAGAAGGCCGGTTTCAGGAACACCGCCCGAGCAACTGGCCCGTTGCAACAATCCTCCAGCCCCTCCCGGCCTACCAGGTACTGGCAGCCTGTAAACGGTTCGTCAAGGGCAAGGCCTAGGGAAGGGATGGCTTCCACCCTCGGTTGTTGGCCCAATTCCCTTGAAGTGTTGCGCAGATGTTTGCCGACATTCTCAACTCCTGGAAGAGGGACACCATCAATCTCTAAGCTCTGAATGGTGTCGGCTGTCTTCTGGAGCAAACCAGCGGGAATGATCCGATATCTTGGTTTGCTGCCCTTGTGGGCTACAGCGTTGTCCAACATCAAACAGAGGAGCTGTAATGCCTGGGAATGAAAAGACACAACTATAACTTGCTTTGAGATCTGGGCAGAACCACCTGCTGTGACACAAGTGCGTGGCTGCACAACGTTCTGGCTCGCTTTGCCAGACACAGGAGCATGGCAAAGGGGTCACTCTTTTTGGACCTCAAGAAATTCCACGACCACACCTCCCATCAGGAACCAAGGGAGGCTGCCACTCACATCGGGATGCCTGGGAGCCTATTATGAAAATGGTGCTGCTTGTGCTTAGCAGAGAGCAAGGCAACGTTCCAAAGGGTCACGTGCCAACCCATAAAGGCAGACGGCATGGCAGCAGGTGGGCAATCGCGCGCTACTACGCTCGCCGATGTTTTGCTATTCGCGATTTGGGAGCGAGCTGGCGCCCTGTCCCCAACCGTCAGAATCAATCATGTCATTGATGTCCTGCCTGTCCATGCCGCCGGAGGCTTGGATTCGGTTGCGGTCCAGCTGGGCCAGGCCTTTACCTCAGTGGCCAATGTGGGCCAGGCTCGATGGCTCCCTATTTCCTGGGCTACAGCGGGGTTATTAGCCGAGTAAACGGGGCTAGCCGAATGGCTGGCCAACGTGATGCCCATGGAGCGGCTTGAGAGCAATCGCGCCGAGACCTTGGGCGTGACGCCACTGACGGGCACTGCCAGCGAATCTGGACTCATCTTCATGGAGGTCTGGTCTCTCAGAAGTGCGCACTCAAGCTTAGGACCCTCCACGCAGCGGACGCCACCATATTTCGAATCCGCGCGTCTGGACCCATGGCGTTCGCGATGTGAGATTCGTGTGTTCTTGTTTTGGGCGACGCGCTTCTCCACGGGCTCTGGGTTTCGGCCGCCCACACGGAAGGCAAGCCGGCAAGCCCCTTCGGGAGGCCTCGGTGGGCCTCCTCTCGGCAGCGGAAAACAATGTTGGAGGAGGGACCCGTTGAACTTCGCGACCACGGCTTCGATTCGCCTATGCTGCGAATGGCTGGGGACTCGCAAGTGGCTAGGCTGGTGCTGGATGAGCTGATTGATTACGGGAAGGCCAACTCCACTGCGCCCCGCCCGCGGGCCACTTGCAGGGGCACGGTGGTCGCCCTAGCTTTGACTACCCACCGCGTGGGCTGGACTTCACAGGACGCGGGGACGGCGGTGGACGAAGGGGAGTGGGGGGAGTGGGAAGCGCACTTCTTCTGCCCTGCGATGCTAGCTGACAGAATTAGTTTCTCTGCCCGGAGGGCCCAGGACGCGAAGGCCTGGTCCCTCCAAGACCGAACGGCTGGGTTTCCGAAATCCCACCCGCCCTTTAGGGCGCGAGTGGTTTAGAGAGCTTCCTCTTCCAGCCTCCGCTTGTCCGGAAAATCATGTCATCGCATAGTGGGATACATATGTATATAGGAGAAGATGAGATAGCGATGGTGGCGGCTGGAGAATCAAGATAACGGCCTTTTTATGGTGCCCATCGCCGAGCATAAAACGGCAGCAAACGAGCAAGCTACATACACCCCTCTGGCACGCATCCTCAGAGTCGAAGGAGGGGTACGCAGCTCGGCCGCTGACACCCTGCACATCAGTCCAAGGCAGCGTTTCAGACCAGCGCAAATCGATCGATGACCGACAACTTCGATCACCGAGATAGTGCGTGGAGAAAACACGAGGTGTGAAGAGCTGGGTCATGTTTCCAGGAGCCAATCTGCCTAACACCAGCATGTATTAGGGTAACAGTAAGCTGACAAGATACAGCTTATGCAATGCGGATCAAGCGGTCGGCCCTGAAATGCTGCGCAAAAACCAATGGGGCTGGTCCCACACACGTGCCGACAGAGTTAGGGAGGTCCCGTATAGGCCGCGACGACCAGAATCGAGCATGGGGCTGTGGTTCCACGACGCAGCCAAGCTGAAGGAGCGGGAAAACGCGCTCGCTTCTGAGCGGCCCTGATTCCACGAATGCTCTGTGCGGGGCCAGCAAAAAGCTCCCCCCGCTCTATGCTCAGTCCGCCGTCATGTCGAGGGTGTCGCACCACTGTGCGTTGTTTACGATGTCTAGGTCTAAGATTCTCTCAACCAACTGATATGTCCCAACGGTGTCTTCGTTGGGTTGTGGTAAAGCCTCTCGGGATGTTCGGCGGTAAAGTCAAAGACTCAGAACATCCATCGTGTAGTCCCGTCCGGTTCGTGACACCCGGGGTGACAAGGTGGGTTATCAAGGTGATGATCGAGCTTGAACTTTGGAACTTCGCAGCCCGATCCTGTCACTGGGACCCTGGACAGCGAATTGGAAGACCGCGAACTACGCATCGACCTCGCCGTGCTTACTCCGCAGTCGGCGAAAAAGAACCTGGCAGAGCCAAACGACGACTCGAGCAAGCAATCATGCAATGCGCACCTTTCTACGTCTGCTACTTGCAAGCTTCCTGCTCGCTCAATCGTCGACTACACGCATCGTGCCGTAAAGCCTCGCTCGCAATGCAAACCAATTCAAATAAATTATGTCAAAATGGCCCCTCCACGCTCTGCTCAGATGAGGGCCCTGCGAGGGCCCCGGGGAACCATGTGATAAAGGATGGGCCGGCACGCCAATTCTCGACATGAGCCCTCCGCACCTGCACGTCCAAACCGTGACTCCCGAAACCCTTACTCAGAGCCTACGGGGGTATTCAGTGACACGCTCCCGTGCGATGCCTTCTGCGCAGTCTGACTCAATGAGGCCATCGCGCGCAGTGCAAACCGGCCTCTGGCCGAGAAGCCAAAACCCGACCTCCACCCCCCAAAAACATCCGCGGCTGGTGCAGCCCCCTTTTCACCTGAAGCCGCAAAAGCATCTCCGTAGGTGTCTTGAGAACCCTGCTCGAGAGAGATTTCCAAACGGAGTCGGCATCAATCGTAAGGGATACTTTGATACAGAGTTCACCGTGTTCACGCAGGCGTTTAAGCTCAGAGGTACTCATGAGCCCCTTAATATGGTCATGCCAGCCAGAGAATGCAGAACACACCAGCTGCCTGACCAAAACAACACTGGGGCACACCTGTGGAAGCAGGTTCACAGCAGGGAAGATATTGCCAGCCGCCCCTTTGAGCATGTACGAACAAACTCAACTGCATGGGCGGTTCGCAGGGCCCTGCGGAAGCTCACAGGGGGCTCGGTTTTCAGAGTTCGTAAGAGGTTGCGGTCACACAGCCACCCCACGTCGTGTCCGCTGGTCGAGCTGGGGCCCTGCTAGATCCCCATCGGAAGCCACCCGTGCCCGCGTTGCTCGGCATTTTGCAGTGGCGACAGAAGGGCCAGAGGCTGCGCCCCAGCCTAAGACGCAGTTGCCTTTCTCGAATCTCGAGAAATAGATTGTTCCTTCTAGGCTCGGGCTGGATACCGTCTCTCTGGCCTTCCTCTTTCCCAGCAGGGAGGAGGCCGAATTCTTCGGCAGGCGGGCGCCTGTGGAAGGGGCAGGAAAGCCCAAGCCAGGAGAGCGGCCCACATGACCGAGGCTGACATGGCCGAAGGATTATTGTATGTTTGAGGGAGGCGCCGTGTCGGTGGGCCCTGGCAGGTCCCGTCACCCCTGCCAGGGAACAACGTGTCCTCATCGTGGTGTGCGCCCCCCACTTCCTGTCCATTCCCTCGCCCGTCCCCTCGATCGGCTTCGCCGATACGTCTCGCGTGGCACGCAGCGCCATGCACCCCACCTGAAAAAAACCCACCTTCTTCGGCCTCCCCCCCTCCCCCTTCTCCTCCTCGCGCTCCTGCGGCCGTTCCCCCCCCCCGCTCCCCTCCCCTGCCCCAACTGCGCAGGTCGTGGT